ACACTGTAAGAGGTCTTTCACTGAAATAACGAATTTTAAAATCCCACTGTGTTTACATCCTTTTTTAAAACTCGAAATGTAATAAGGACAAAAGAAAATCAATATTTAAAATTCAAATTCTTGTCATTTAAAAAAATTCTGAGATGTTTTTCTTCTCCGTAGTTTAAACCATAATTATAACCTTCTTAAACAAAATTCTTTTTGATTCGTTCGTTTCGGAGACGTAGAACAGCCTTAATCGTGCCAAGCATCCGAATCCATTTTTTAAACCTGTCTGTATATATCTTTACACAATTCCTACAATTTTCGTTATTCTATATTGAAAAATTTTAAGAATATTCTCCAAACACGAATAAATAAAAGTTCGAAAACCTCGCGTTAAAAGCTCTTACGGTTTTCTTGAAAAAAATTCCCAAAGTTCTACTCGACTCGCGTCGGTAGAGGATCCTCTCGATACGTCATAGTTCGTGGCGTAGTCTATTTATCTGTCGCATATACGCGCTGTGCAGAGCTTGGGGAATGATCCGCGAGATGGCAGAGTTGCAATAGGAGTAATCCGATCGCATCACCTGATTTTCCCACTCCGAGCTCCGACAGACGCGCTGGCCTTGACACAACACGCTGACATTTCGGGTAACAAGGAAAATACGTATGGCCTATTGTTCACGATTGTATCGCAAGATGGGACAATAGAAATACAAGCAAACCGACCCGCATTTCTTCCATAGGTCATCTGCCGAGCATCGCAGACTCGAGTTGTAGGCTCCTCGCATTTAACGAACGTTCAGGTGCCTGGGGCTAAGAATACAAAAATAAAAATAGACTACAAAATACGCTAGAAACCATTGTATTAAAATACAGCAGTGGTAAAAGTCAGGTGTTAATGTCTCGTCTAACGCTATCGACGTATTTATGCGTTTCTTGTTTTTCGCTGTGCTTTATTAAATCGGTTGTCATGTCCAACTGAATTACTTCTTCGGCATAAATTATACCCATAATTCAATTCGATGTAAATAACACTCGCAGCACAACCCACGGACGTATGAGTATGCTAAACCGCATATGGGTCAGCGGACTGTGAATGCGTTAACAATTGTGTGTTTCCTTCTACAGACCCCTGATCTAAATCTCATTAGACGCGAAACTTCAACAGGTCTGTCCAATCTAGATCCGACATGTCAAGTAATTGACAAATATTGCATGTAACTCTACGGAACCATGGAGCAAAAAGTATACAGATGTACGTAGTGATACGAATATTAAGATTGATTTAATAACTGTTTCTAAATTTTTGATTAAAAATTACATATATTGGCGTTATCGCCCTGGTCACTTGACTTTTAGATTTTTCTTTTTAACCCTTTGCACTCGAGAGGTGTCACCATTTCATAAAATTTCGAAGATCGATATTAATTAATACATCAAATTTAATGTAATGTAATAGTGTGCAAGGTATCGAAATCAAATAATTCTACAATTCTATTATTATAAAATTCTTTATTTACTGCGCAAAAAAGTATCGTCGGTTTTTTAATAGAGAATCCTTGATTTCCCACTCTTCTCTAGCCAAAAAATCGTCGAGTGCAAAGGGTTAATATATTTATTACGAATTTTTAAATATTTTCTCTTATTCCATTTTTTTCTTTTTCTTTTTTTTTCCTTAGGTTCTTTTCTCCTCGTTTTTCCATTTACAAATTTTTCGACCGGTAGTGGTAGGTTTAATGTTAAAAAGTAATATGGCGCGAAATTTAGGATTACTGAGAGAATGTTAGTAAAAATTATTTCAAGGTCATGCAAAGATCAATATGTTATATATAAATAAATTTGGATTTTTACTGGCTAACAATATTGTGGTAATGAAAATATGCTTTTCTATTTTAAAAATGAGGATGACCTTGAGGTCTCGGAAGATACGAAACAAGAAAAAAATCGCTTTCCTGTTAATATTCAGCTCTTTAAGAGGAAAATCTTCTTCACACATTTTTTGTATCATTAAAAATAACGATGATACGATAAAATTGTAATCTCGGCTCACTCACCCTGTATAGTTAATGAGACTATCATTACGGATTTTTTTAGAACGTAAAATTAACGTTAATAAAATAATAATTTTCAAGTATAATAATTTGTTAAGTTTACTTCATTTTAAATATTTATGAACACAGACGAGTATTGTAACGGGTACTACATTTATTTATCCATTTGTTTATGTAAATAATATAATGGCATTTTATTTTCAGAATTGTAGATGAATTTTCGAATTCAAATGGAACACATGAAATAATAATAATTTTATTATTTCTGTTTATTTTTACATTTTATTCATTGTCATATTCTATGTACAATTACGTATCACGTGTATTATATGCTCTATGTATCATTATATTCTATATATTAATTTCTTTTTTGGCCAAAATTATGTATAAATTACAGTTTCAATATTTGCAAAATTGTTTCATTGCAAGCTTGCTGATATATATCATTTTATTCGGAATGTACAGTGTGTACAATATAAAAATTATATATTACGACCATCATGACGTGCTTTCTTAAGCAATGTTGTTCCTCTTGATGAACAGAATCAAGATGCAATCACGAAAAAAAAACAAAAAAAAAAAAATTGATCTGGAAACTAGTCTTACAGGAACTCTTTTTTCAAAATCTCAACCGATCTAGCGGTGAAAAATCACACCATGATGGTCGTAATATTTAATTTTTATATACCCTGTACGATACTGGATATTTCTCTTTTTGTTATTAGATAGCTATAGCAAGTAAGCTATTACTTTCGCAATAAATTTTCACTCTTATAAAAAAATACTTTATATTACCTAGTTGTCCATAAATTTCATAAAAAATATTTGTTCTATAGTTCATTAACCCTTTCCTCGAGTAAGCGTTTTAAAAGATAGCCTTAAGGCGATTCTCCATTTAACTCACTAGCGCCACCACGGTCCATATCTCCACTAAATGTACCGTAAATATTCTATATATCATTGAATTATTTTCCAATTTTGTTGATATAATTTTGGAATTTTCTTTTCACTACGTATGTTATATTATTTGCACAACATAGTCAACACAAATTTTTGATTTTAGTCGTATTACTGAAAGGGATGAAAATAATTGATGAAAATGTATTAACTTTGATAAAATTAATTATTGTAAATATTTCTTTTTCGCAAAATGCAATTTTCTATTTATAATATTTCAGTAAATATTCCAATATTCCAACGAAATAAATAAAGTTTAATAAGATTTCCTCAAAAATAAAATTTGCTACCGATTTGACATGTGTTTTAGATTATAATTAGCAGACAAGTAGAAATTACAAAAATAGAGTAAAGATTAAGAAAACGTGTAAGATGCTGAACGAAAGTTCATGAAATATGTATTTTTATATCAGCTGTTCCTCAAACAAGCAGATTAAACAAGTAATTATGTAGATTACATCTCGGGACACCGGTTAAATGTTCCGTGTAGAAGAGAGAAAGTTAACGAGAAAAGGGACTTCTTGGTTCTCCAATCAAGCAAGAGAGATCACCGGTTGTGCGATATTAATCACACCTAAAGCCATGTTCCACTTATCACCGGAATCATTTTTATTTGACACTTATTTTTTAGCTCTTGTACGGATAACCTGGTATGCGTACATTCTCTGCCCTGATTTTTTATTTAATCTTAAAAATATCTCGAGACCACCTCGAATAGCATTCCTCGAATAAATTTATAACGATTCGTATTTTATAAAAAAATATAAATCATTCAGTAAGTATTTTTGAATGCTTTCATTCTTACTATACAGAGAGTTCGAGTGATGTCAGACGATTATGACACAATTTTGAGCAAATGTATTTTGAAATTTGTTGGGGTCCTAGGACCGCAATGTCCCAGGTCAAGTGGAGGACTGTTTTATGTTATTGTCAGGGTCCCTTGACTTCCATACACTCATGGTCACCTAAACCACCACTTGGGTAAACCGTTAACAAGGACCAATATATCATCCTTAAGATAGGCACAAGGACCCAAATTGTTTAACCCCTTGGTTGCTGCGGGCACCTATAGGCGCTTAGAAATTTTGCGTTTGTGACACGGAGGGCGCCTATGGGCTCTTAGAAATTTTGCATTTTGACACGGAGGGCGCCTATGGACGCTTATAAATTTTGCTTTTGTGACACGGAGGGCGCCTATGGGCACTTAGAAATTTTGCGTTTGTGACACGGAGGGCGCCTATAGGCGCTCGGCGTAGTTTAGCTTCGTGACACGGAGGGCGCTTGTTTTCACAAAAATGGCGCACATCGTGGCGCACGTTTCAATTCCTGCCGTATAGTACGACCGCAGAAATTTCGTAATTTCTCGAAGATTTCAAGCAAGTTAATTTTCAAATAATGTTTTAATAAATATTTTAATTTCTTAAGAATTATATTTTTGAAGGATTTATGCCCTCAAAGATTGCTTTAAGAAATTTTCTAATTGCTTAAAAATTTAATTTCTTAGTTTCTCAAAGATTAAATATTTTGAAGGATTTAAATTCTCAAATATTGCTTACAGAAATTTTTTAATTTCTCAAAAATTTAATTTCTTAATTTCTCAAAAATCAAATATTTTAAGGGATTTAAATTCTCAAATATTGCTCCAAGGAATTTCTAAATTTTTCAAAAATTTAATTTCTTAGTTTCTCAAAGATCAAATATTTTGAGGGATTTAAATTTTCAAATATTGCTTTAAAGAATTCTTTAATTTCTCAAAAATTTAATTTTCTAACGGATTTAAATTCTCAAATATTACTTTGAGAAATTTTTTAATTTTTCAAAAATTTAATTTTTTAGCGAGTTCAAATTCTCACGCATTGCTTTAAGAAACTCTGTAGTTTCTCAAAGGATTAAAATTTTCAAGCCTTATTTGATCTTCCGATGTTTCCTCGAATATTCGCTTCGACTAACACAAATAAATAGTAAAACGATTTTTACGATCCAAATATAACAATGGCTCATACTCACACGTTTGTATATCCGTTGAACGTCTTCCATCACCTGGTTGAGACGACCGACGAGGTGTGTGCTGTATACTTCCGACAGAGCTGCATGATCTCTGCTTAAGGATTTGGTCTCGTTGATAAGTTGCTGCCAGCAAGCGTAGCTCGAGAATAGGGGCCAATGTTCTCGCCTACGAATTGTTTACTGTTAGCTAAAATGATCTACTTCCGAGTACTAATGGTCTGTTACGAACATAAACTTCTCTTTTACAAATCATCGAACACTTCCTAGTTCTAGTCCAAATATTTAACCAGAGCTAGACTCCGACGACTTATAAAAGTAGAATCTGTCTCAATATTCCAGAATTTTAGCTTTCACTCAGTGTAATTTAACCCTGTGACTACTGGCTGTCAGAAAATTTAAGAATTTTAGGTTTCATCCAATGTAATTTATCCCTTTGACGACTTTGGGGGTCTAGAGACCCTAGATTGCCACGACTTATAAAAGTAGAATCTGTCTCAAAATTTTAGAATCTTAGGTTTTACCTAATGTAATTTAACCTCTTGACTACTGTGTGCCAAAAAATTAAAAAATTTTAAGTTTCACCCAGTGTAATTTAACCCTTCGACTACTGGCTGTCAAAAATTTTTTTTTGACGACTGTGAGCCCCTAAAGGCCGTAGACTGCAACGACTTATAAAAGTAGAATCTGTCCCAAAATTTTAGAATCTTAAATTTCACTCAGTGTAATTTAACCCTTTGACGACTGTGGGTCCCTAAAGGCGCTAAACTCTGATGTCTCATGAAAGTAGAATCTCTCCCAAAATTAACAAATTTTAGGTTTTACTCAATGTAATTTAATCTTTTGACTACTGTGTCAAAATATTTTAGATTTTTAGGTTTCACCCAGTGTAATTTAACATTTTAACGACTGTGGGCCCCTAAAGGTCCTAGACTGCGACGACTTATAAAAGTAAAATCTATCCCAAAATTAAAAAGTTTTAGGTTTCACCTAATGCAATTTAATCCTTTGATTATTGTGGGCGCCTAAAGACGTTAGACTTCGACGACTCATGAAAGTAGAATCTGTCTCAAAATTTTAGAATTTTAGGTTTCACCCAATACAAACAAAAGTAAATTTTACTCGTTGTCACTATTTCTACTGTAATTCAAACGTAATTCTTTTTCTCTTTAATTGGTATAAACGTGTATATCAACTTCATCGTTCGAAATATTTCGAAGTTTGACATCATTCTCATTGTTAATGTTAATTTCTTCGGATGATTTATTCCCAATCTTTTCTTTCGCTAAGTTTTCATAAATTTACTGGTATTCGGGACAACATTCACTAAATCCTGTCGAAATTTTAAGAATCCTTGAATGTTTGGATCATTGCATATAATGGCTGTTGGAATAAATCATAGCCATATAATAAATAATGGAATAATAAATAAATCATTGCCATATAATAAATAATGGAATAATAAATAAATCATTGCCATATAATAAATAATGGAATAATAAATAAACGATAGCCATATAATAAATAATGGAATAATAGATAAATCATTGCCATATAATAAATAATGGAATAAACCATAAATAAACCATAGCATAGCCATAGTCAGGTGTGCTAGACGTTGCAAGCCAATAGCATTTTTGGGGCCTCAAGGGATCGTGTGCCAGGTTTGGGTTTAACCGTTTTTGTCCCAAGCAGCGCGATCGCGCTGTTCAGATTTCATGTCGAGAAGGCCCAGCACTTTTAGAGCGTTCTCGACAGCTGACGGTGCGTCACCGACTATCGAAGTCGAAGCGCTATCGCGTCACTTGGCCACTCATCGCCATAATATAAACGAAGCGCTATCGCGCCACTTGGGACTTCGCGACATAAAATAGAAGAAGCGCTATCACGCTGCTTGGGTCATCTCGTACCAACTTAGAGGCAGCGCTATCGCGCCGCTTGGGACATCTCGACATAAAATAGAAGAAGCGCTATCGCGCTGCTTGGGATTCCTCGACAGTGTCTTTTCAAAATCCTCTGGAACTCAAACGGTTAACCCTTTGACTACCGTGGGCGCCTAAGGGCGTTTAGAAATCTGTCGCTTGTGATACTGTGGGTGCCTAAAGGCGCTCAAATGTCTTTTTCCTGTTAAATTTTAAGTATGTACAGTAAAAATGTAATGCAGAATACAAAGAAATAAGTAATGTTGTTTTAATCCAGTGAAATATAGCGTTTCGATTATTACTTGAGTACGCAATAATTTCTCAGAAATGCACACATAATGAAAAGTTTCGCTATTCTCGGGGTACGTCAAATGGATTATTCTGTTGAAAATAAGATACGTGTAGCGTATCGAATATATAAAAATTAATCTGTAAAGAGAAACAGATGTATCTTTTAACTATACGCCGAAGAGGTTCCAGGAATGCGTAAAGTGTTTATTTCACACGTTAGATAAGAATTAGGGGACCAGGATGAGCTGCGATTGCATACCCTTTTTCTTCACTCTACTTTTGACTCACTACGCGAACAGTCAGAATACTTGAAAGAAATTCCTTTTCTTTTAGGATTCCTAGAAGGATTCCTATACCTTCCATAGGAGAGAATAAAGATAATTATATCACGATAGTTATTTCTTTTTACACATAATCCCAATAGATTCCTACCATATGATACAGCTGGTGCGTTTCAAAATGCCAATTTTCACTATGCCAAAGTGCCATACTCAAAGAGTTAAAATTCAATTAGAAGTGTCAGATTTATTGTCAAAATTCAATTAAAAATGTCAGATTTATCGTCAAAATTCAATTAGAAATGGCAAATTTATCGTCAAAATTCAATTAGAAATGGCAAATTTATTGTCAAAATTCAATTAGAAATGGCAAATTTATTGTCAAAATTCAATTAGAAATGTCAGATTTATCGTCAAAATTCAATTAGAAATGTCAGATTTATTGTCAAAATTCAATTAGAAATGTCAGACTTATTGTCAAAATTCAATTAGAAATGTCAGATTTATTGTCAAAATTCAATTAAAAATGTCAGATTTATCGTCAAAATTCAATTACAAATGTCAGATATTGTCAAAATTCAATTAAAAATGTCAGATTTATTGTCAAAATTCATTATCACAGCGCATGCCTAACGTCGAACAACTCAGCGCTCAAAGGGTTAAAAATGGAATGCAACACGAAAGAACAATGTGTCTTCATTGTTGAGAAATATTTGCAATTTTCAATCAACCCTTTCGCTACGGCGAGCGTCGCTGCGAAGTCTCTTCCTTAGAACGCAGCGCGGTGTCAAAGATGGTAACGTTACAATTATACAGTCTTTAGCATTCGGTTTTTTGACGCAAATATTTCGAAGAAAAAAAGAAAAGGAAAAACTGACCATCGCCATAGAGTTCGCAATTCTTTGCGAAGAGAACTAAGAGGAATGGTAGCATTTGTCGTAAATTTTTACTCAATTTTTGTGGTCGGTGACTATAACGACGGAGAAATTTATTAAATTAAAGTTGCGATAAATTAAAATAATATTTTTGTTTTGTGTTGTACATACATTTATATTTTTAATAAAAATTAAGTTGTTTATATAGAATTAAAAAGAAATTTGTTTTTAGTAAGTTTTCGGAACGTAACCATCCTTTTTGTACTGGCTCTGGGTCTCATACAACACGGTTTCACACAACACGGCATTTTCTAGGAACCTATCTACCGTGTTATAGGAGGGTCACCTGTACTTAAAATTAATGTCCGAAATTATAAATCATAATTATTAATACAGATCATACGTGATATTTCTATATTACAAATGATCTCATAAACAGCAAACCGTTTATGCCAGTAGATTGTAAAAAAATTCCGAGGCAAGGGGTTAAAATAATAAATGCACATGTGAAGAAATAGACACATGGTAACACACTGTATTGATATACTGTATGTATGTATGACTATATCCAAATCGCGTTAACATTTTATCTCAACTAGTTTATATTTAAGAAACAATTTTGGAACGTTACAACAAATTTTATTCCATTTTCATACCTTTTAACCGACAAGGTATTTGCGTCGACATATTTTATTTTTGTCAAATGAAATTATTACACGAAGATTGTCATATTATTGTTAAAAATTAAATTTTAAATACAAGAATATAATAAT